CGATATGGGGAGTATCGCTGTGCTTCATTTACCTCAAAGATGCGAATATATTATTGGTACTTCCGGAACATTTTCTGATTTACCCTTTCAAGTGCGTCTCAAAGAGTTGCTATAATTTTCTCTCGCCTGTTGTGCGATGCGCCTCGAGGTTTTTTGGAGATTGTTGTAACCTACCAGATAATTCGATCACTGATCTTCCGTCCGATAATGGCGCTTTCGTTTGTGTTTATCAGTTGAAATTCCGTGGGTGCAAAGTTGCTTGACAAGCTTCAATGTTGTCGACCGACTGTATATTTTAGTCGCTAGATATAGCACTATCATGTATTCGTGTGTCAGCGTTCAGAATAAGGATATTCACGTTTTCTATTCTAGATTAAATAAACGATAGAATGTCGTATGTTAGTCATGTGAAAAAATAAATGACCACACAGTATCAAAAAAAGGGATATTTAAAGTACAAAGGAGGATGAGAAAACAATTGACGTTAATGGAGGAATGTCCTTTCAAATGAAGGCAACCCTAGCTATATCCCTGAAGGTGATGGTGTTCCTTTCCTGCAAATGGCGAGATCCGTCGCCGACCAACACTTTGCGTCGGCTCCTCTCCTTCAGGTACCTTCTGCTACGGAGGCACCGCCCCAACCTTAATAAGCTCATAGCTCCTGATTGGTCTACCGACAGGTAGTATACTTCCTGTAAGTGTATTTGAGATTAGGGGAGAGGATAGACCAAGGCCGAGGAAGGAAAGGCCGGGAGCACTTCAAGGCTCGTGTTTTAAGGCCAGTGTCTTCGACATTTGCCTGGTATACATGGGAGAAACAACTGAAAACTATCGATCAGAGCATCCGGCAGCTAGAATCCTCCAGACTGCGGCTGAAAAAAGATTTCGGGTGCTGGTGGATCCTCCATTTGGGAGGACAGTCCTCCATTGACGTTAATTGTCCTCTCGTCCTTCATTGTATTTTAAATGTCCGCTTTTCAATATATTTTTAACATTTGCTGCCTTTTTTATCACATTACTAACATCTGCAACGTTGTATTGTTTAATTTAGAATAGAAAACATGAATAGTGTCCTCCCTTTTTCATGCGAACATTGTTGGCACCCCTACACTAAACTGATGAAGAATACGCCTAAGAATAAGCCAAAATGACAGCTGTGCTAAACAAATAAAAATCACATGTAATTCAGATAATACAGGCCAGGAACCAGAAACACGTGCTCTTACGCATCTTAAATTGAAAACTCAGTTTTAAAATAAACATAATACTTATCACACAAATTAAATTCAATGTAATATTTATAAAATATATTTTTTACAGAAGAGCACACAGCACTGCACTTCCTAATTTCAATTATTTCTCGTGGGGAACTATATTTTCACAAAAGGAAGAGTCCAAGCCATTTACAAGTTAGCCAACTGCAAACGAACGAATGGAGGAAGGAGAGTCTAATACGCTCAAGGTCATAACGACTTCAGAACCTTCAGTTATGTTGCCAGCACTTGCTGTCAAAACTGTCCTTTCTGATAAAATTCGCTCTGTAGCAGTTGAGAAGCTGTATACTCACGTAGTTCCGGGTAGCTGAGGAAGGGGTCCGCGGGGGCGGACGGCTGGGGCCGGGCGATGGGCGGGGCGGGGGCGGGGCGCGTCGCAGGCGGGGGCGGGCGCCGCAGGGGAGGGCACGGGCGGCCGCAGGGGGATGGTGCCGATCACAGAGGAAGTCCACAAGCAGCTCGCTGCCTCTGTGGGAGGCGCTGGCGGTTATCTGCAACACCGAGCACAAAAGTACACGTCAAGATTAATACTTTGGTAAAAAACAATAAAATTAGTGGAGCAACAGAATGGCACAGACTTTCCCGTATTAGTTTACCATTTCCTTTGGTCTCGGTTAGCTATTCCAACTTGCCACATATTCTTGCCTGCAGCCATCTATCGCCACCCAAGATATATTTTCTTAATCTTTCGGTTTCTTAATTGTAGAGCGAAAATATTATTTTAAGATTTATTAATAAGTATAATAAGATTAAGATTAATTATTAAAGAACACTAAAATCTCGTCGGAAATGGCAATATATTTCAAAAATTTTGAATCATTTTAAAATACTGGCGTTTATTCGTGTTAAAGTGTGCAATTACCACTATCCGTTCAAAACATTTGAAGAGAAAATTTGGAGCCACTGTTGAGGAAATGGATAATATAAAGTTTCTCGAAAACTCTACCGTTTTCCGTGAAAACTAGCTCAAATTTCCGCATTTCCAAAATTGCTCAAACGCCATTTTCTCTAAAACTGATACAACTTTTTCCTGCATACTTTTCGAACGGATAGTGGTAATTGCACTGTTTAATACGACGTAAAGTTAATTTTTTTAAAATTATACAAATGTAATTTTTTTGGAATATTTCTCACACCGTTAATTTGTACATTTCCAACAAATTGTGACACAACAATTTGTGAGTTGGGCGGTGATAGATAGCAGTTGTCAAAAGTCGTGCCAAGTCCGAATAGTTAGCCGAGACCAAAGGAAATAGAAAACTAATACGGGAAAGTCTGTGACATTCTGTATAGCTCTACTAGTTCAATATGAAATATTTCGAATGTTCGATTACTCAGAATATTTCCTATTGACAGAGAATGCACTTCCGTAAACTGAATTGTCTGTCCTTTATTAATAAGAAATATTGTTGGGACACAAACAGTAGTTTCCGAATACGCCATAAAACCAAGCCTAAGAAGTATCTTTGTCTCATTCGTTCTTACAATAAAAAATATCAAGATACATCTTACAATTCTTACAATTTTTAGGATTTTCTCCGCGCCGTGATTGGATCATTGGATAATTGGTGAAGTATCTTCGACACTAATTGCACAGTGCGGAGAATATCGTCGTCGAGGAAACAGTGCGGAATTTCTTGCTATTGCGGCGAATTGCAGACTGAACCTCAAAAATGCCCAAGAAAAAGCAGAATCTGGCAACACTGGTTCACAAACACTAAGATTTTACGTTAAACGTCGGAATTCTACTGAAGACCAATCACAGTGCAGCATGGAAGAAACAATTGCACAACAAAATCTGCTTGAAGCAAATTAAAAGTCAATTTCAGATTTGTTTCAGCTAGTTTTAGATCATTTCACTATTTTAATAGAGAGAAATACTTTGTTGTTGGTTGGTTGTGATGCGTGTAATGAATTCAAAGTAAAAATTTGGGCTATTTTTCTTGGAACTAACTTGACGTGGCGAATACATTAATGATGTTCAACGAGTTACTTGTGAAATTGTTATAAGAGAACCGTTTATAAAATGAAGTTAATGAGCAGTGATTTAGAGTTTTTTTGTCAAAACAGCAATTGAAGTATGGGCAAGATTATCTGCGCCCGTTTTCTTGAGTTCCAGAATCCCTTCCCATAATTTTAACAATATATTTTTAAAGGATGAGTAAAAGTACAATATTTGTTACGAGCATATTAAGTCTTTTTAAAAATGTATACAATACAACTGTAAACTAATTCATTACATATCACTGTTTTGCTAAAATAAAGATTATTTCTCTTTTTGATAATCAGTATAATTTCTAATTGTATAGAAATATTTATGTAGCAAACAAAATTTTACTTTTATCTTAAATTTGTGCACCGACTTCAATTGTTTAATGTCATCTGGCAATGCGTTGTAAAGTAACCTACATGTATTCTATGTGTATTGTATTTGTAGTGATCTGTTGATGCATATACTTGATGAACGTGATTTCTATGACGTGTGTTGTAATTATAAATAACAGTATTACATGAAAATATGTTCCCACCGTTACGTACGTCAGTTTTGACAAATATTACAGATTCGTAAATAAATATACAGGGCAATTGGTAAGAACGGCTAGAATACAACAGCTAATCTCTCTATATAAAGACAAATCGTGTGCAAAGTTGAAGAAAAAACTCGAAACCACGGTGAAAATATCTTTCCACCAAGCTAAAAACGAATCGATTAAGCTTCAATACGTTGAAATCCGATGGGTTCAGGCGAAACTTACTTGCCGGCTTACGTTCGTCTTCTTTTCAGGTGTAAACAAGGATGTCAGGTGTGCTGCGAGCTCTTTCCCCACCACGTCTACGGAATTTCCCCAAATAACCTCTCGAACGTAACAGAATTACCCAACTTTGAAACGAAAGATATTCTCCATATTATGAACCAACGACATGAGTTGTCCCTGACAATTCCATTGGCTCTCCCCTTAAATTCAAATAATTCAATTCAACCAATCATCGTCCATTGAGCTGCTCGAAATCCTAAATTATCTTCATTTTTTTAGTGATTTTCTTTCTGTATGTCTGTCGATTATTTTTCTCTTTTTGATACATAAAACGAGAGAGAATAACTACTACTGTTTTCTTCTTTTTTAGTCATAATATCAGTTCGTATGGCCGAGATCGCTAAGGCAAGTAGTGCCGTAGCGTTCTGCGACCGTCGCGGGTTGGAGTCCCGCCTCGGGCATGGTTGTATTGTCTTCGCCCTTTCACTCCCTATCATCACCATATTGTGTCATGCTCACTGTTACCATACCGTCACAGTGAACAGTGGTCGCTAATGATATAGAAGTTGATGCGACCTTAAATAACATTTAGGATATTATACATATACATATATACATGTATATATATACATATATATATATATATATATATATATATATATATATATATATATATACATATACATATATATATACATATATATACATATACATATACATATACATATATCGACTCCGCATGAAAATATTAAATACTTTCCCTCAAAATCCCTAAACATTATTCGTTCATTAATGTTCCACCTTATTTCTCTGCAACGAAGAAAAATCCCGCAACGATAAAGTTTAATGCATTACGTGACGTTTACGTTTGCGTTGCGAACGAGGCCTTAGGTGCACGGGAAGTGGCACTCGTGGGCAGTTTGGCCCGAAACCTAGCACGTGAGCAGCCGTGGAGTACCTGCAGCTTGTAGGCGATGTCCATGGTGCTGCAGTTGCGGAGGTGGGAGGCCGGCAGGGCGGGCACCTGCAGGTCCACGGGCGTCGTCCGGGAGCTGCGGCGCGGCACGTGGCCCAGCGTGCACTGCGCCACGGGGACGTTCACAGCCTTCGTCTGCGTGCACGCCTGCCACGCGCCCGTGAACGTCGACGTCTGAAATGACACAGTTGTGTATTGTACGCAACCGGGAGAAATTGCTCTTATGTCGCTGCAGTCACTCAGAACGGGAGTTCCTGGGGTTCGAGTGTCGACGGTGGCAGGATTTTCAACCGTAGCCAGGTTGCTGGGTCGAGTTCTGTCGCTGTCTGGAGGAGAATTCAAACGGCCGCCTGCTCTCATCGGTAGTTTTCCGTGGTTCTCCGATCAATACCAGGCGAATGCCCGCACCGTACCGTAACAAAAACGCCAAGGTCCGCGCGCGATCCTCCTTTCCAAGCCTTGTCCTACCCTCGCTCACACACTCACATACACGATACTACTACATGTGCCGGGTGACCGGCTGGGAGCTTAGAGCTTGCCTCGGCTGGGGAGGTGCCCCGCTGGCAGGAGATATATGATTAGGGAAACCCTACTAACCAAAGGTAGGTCGGCATCTCAGCATCTAGTAAGAGACGATCACCCATCTCCAGGGAGAAAATGTACTACACTTACGGAACATAACTTCAGCAGTTGGCGCGTCCGCAATCACTAATCAATCAATTAAAATCATTCTTAAGGAGGGTTTCTAAAAATTAATCTTCCTGTTTTTGAGAGGTTCATGACCTAGGATTACTGGGCTATTGAAATCGAACTTACGTGATCATTAATCCCACAAACACTAAAACAAGACGGGGCTAATTATATTTCTAATCTGTTGTGGCTTCCCGTTTCCACTGAACATTTTTTTATTTACACGTAATTAAGTAATTAAATACAACATTCTACATGAACAATAAAACGATCATTTTAATGGTACAATTAATAAATTCAATTTACTTTGTTTAACTATTTACAGAGTTGCCAAATGATTTAGAGACCACCTTGCCCAAATGCCGTGCATCAATATTCGGAAGTGAGACCTTTAGGTGGTATGTTCGTGTTAGTACCTAGTCAAACACTATCATTTTTTACATACACATATTAACAATAGATGCTTGTGAACGTGAATGGAGTCTTTAAAGTCTTATTTGTTAAAAATATAAGAAGTATTAAATAGTTTCTCTAGAATATCAATGTTTACTAGTATAATTTACTCCTAGACGAGCGAGTGCCAATACTTCCGGTTCGATGAATTTCGTAGGATTTTTTTCAATTACTCCTCAGATTGACCTGTGAGGAATATTACATTTAATACCACCTGATTCCTAAAAAAATTAGAAAATTTTCATAGAAAATTTTCATATCAGTTGTACATTTTTCTTTCACTTAAATGAGGTTAATTTTACAATTTTGGATTTTTTACTTCATATTTCAAACCAATACGTGACGTAATAATGGTTGGTCATCAACTAGCCATAATAATAAGTGTGAATCACTTTATCATTCCAGGAAACAATTGTTACGACTGCATTCACTAATCTAATCTAGAACAATAAACTTTACGCCCCCCTTCCGCTTCCGGCGTCTACAATAAGATAACTCAAAAATATTTTTTCCAGACTTCTTTTCATTATCAATACTTTCATTGCAAATTTGCTGTTTCGATTATAACTTATGCTGTTCAAGTACCGACCTGTATATGTAATTAACTTCGTGTATTGATTCGTTCCCAGAACTTGAGAAATGTTTTATATTGAGCATTCCATCATGGGTGTGGGTCCACTTTGGAAGTCACTGACATTCAGTGATTCACGATCTCATCAATTATCTACCATCTGTTGATCTTATCGCTGATATTTTCTCGGTGAACAGATGGACATTTCGCAAACTCACCTAGGAGGTATTTGAACATTGATCCAAAAAATAAAAACATCGGTATCAGTTTCAAATCTATTATTCCTTTCTTTCCTAGTTATCTATTTTTTATTTTTCCTCCCTATACTGTAGGTCAGAGAAAATATGTGAGGAAATAATCTGATCCTCAATTTTCGAAGTGACGAAAAATGAAATTTCAGTCATAAAAAGTGTGTTTAAGGTTCTATTGAGCGGTAAGTTTGAACTCACTTCAGGTCTATTAGTGCTGTCTCAATGTTGGGTAAGATTGATGAAGGTGGCTGGGATATACGGAATTGACTGGACGGATGGAGGCACGGTGTTACGCATATTAGAAGCTTTTGAGCTAATAATGTTGTATGTTAGAAGTAACATCCAAAAATGTCCGTCCTGGTGATCATTTAGAAACGAGTTTGGGTGTTACTTTACATAAAGCCCCCAACAACATTTTCAATTATATTCTGGATTATGGCTGCAATATTTTCTTTGATTCTTTTTTTTTGTGTGGATTACAAGTTAGTGCATTTATAAAAGGGGGTAGTATGGAGTACTTTGTGAACAAAGAAGATGTCCTACTTTCGTGTAAAGTATGTTACTAGGGAAGAAAAAAAAGGAGTTAAATTCAATAAGCAAGAAAGATACAGGTTTAAACAAAACTGTGTGTGAAACTAATTTCTGCAAATGCTAGTAAATACGATGCTCATTTGATTATGAATTATTAATTTATAGATTTTAAAACAAAGGTGCAAGCAAGAAAATTAAAAGATAACATAATAAATTTAGATACGAGTATACGATTAACTATGGGGCAGGTCACTTTTTGGGAGACTATTTTAGAAAATCGCAAAAAATTAGCATTGCAAAAGTGCAATATCCATTAATGTTTTTTTCATCGATAAAATCTTCAAAGAAAGTAGATCTTTAAAGAAGGTCATGTATAATGTTTTGAAAAAACAGTTTTCTGTCGTCGTCTTTCAACTACAATAAAACAAAAGATTTAATAATTAATACAATATTTTCTTGGAAGTTTTATTTCTAGAGTGAAAAATTACTTTAAAATTCGAGAATTTTTGGGCGTAATTTTGCTTGAAATAGAAGGAATGTCAAAACATTTTATTTAAAAGGTTCGTAATTGTTCTTTAAACTAATTACATTGAATATTATGACAGACTATATATTGAATTTCAAATTTTTGATCAGATTAAAAATTAGTTTTAATTATTTTTACTATCGTTCACATTGTTTAAAAATCTGAAAAAATGTTATCGAATGTTATGAGACTCATTCTAGGAAAGAAAAAATGAGACTGTACTTCAACGATATCAAGTCAAAAAACCAATACATTTTCTTTCTATTTAAATTTGGCATTAAAATTGGTTGAAAAATACCTTCAAATTCAATTATTTTTGTCTGTTTCGCTAATTTTTTCATCCTCATGCATGCAATCGAAGCTGAGAAAAAATAAAACACGAAAAACACGTTTCTAATTGTATCTCTATAACGGTGTCCTAGGTGGCTGACTATTTGGGAATCTACGACATGTTTTACTCTTTCATATGAGTGTCGCTATTATTGATTTGATTTGGGGACGCTTTTCACCCTTTGTATTGCATTTATGTTTGAATTTTCCGCCATTTATTAAGAATAATATTTTTTATGAAATGCTGTTAGCAGTCAAAATCAAATAATCAGTATTATGAAATTGAAATTAAATTTCGGATCGCAAGATCATAGAATTAAAATTTTATGAGAGGAATCAGTTTGAGTCAGAGGAGTCATGTCTTCGCGTTCTCGAATTTCATGTCTGTAGTTCAGGTTCAAGGTGTTTAACTGACGTATAAGCAACTCCCCCTGGTGAATATAGTTTGCTGTTTCCACGAGGTTCCTTGTTCTTACCTTTTTCATGTAAGCCAAATATGAAATGAACTAAAGGGAATTAAATCTCATTCCCCTAATGATATATTTATATATCATTAAAGGCATTTTCAGTTTATTCTAAATAAGTATATAAACTTTGATTCTATATTTGCTCTCTTCAAATTTCAGATAATCAAAATGACAAAATAATTCAATATCGTTCGCCAAACAAGGCAGTTAAGTTCTGAGTGACTATTTCTCCATTGGAATTCACTTCCTTGGAAGGCAGTAATGCGGAACAAGCAGAATATTTAAATCAATAAAAAAGGATGATCTCTATTATGTTGTTAATAACCTTTGTCGTTAAAAATCTACCTTAAATAAACTAAATTTTAAAAAAGGAACAACAATAGTAGATACTAGTCAGATGATCTTACCTGAATTAGAGCGCATTTTACTGTCACATCTTTCTTTGTTGGGTTGTCAACCTCGACCACAGCTTGGATTTTCTGTCCAGGAACATACCCTTGCAGTTTCGAGGACACTACAAGCGTCAAGGGACCTGAGCGGCAACAGCAACAGCCCAGGTAGGTTTCTCTGGTGGAATGTAGAGGGTCCTGTTACAAGAGATTTTTATTTGATGATTATACAGTTTCGGCGGAACGAAATTTCATATGGAGGGAACAGTAATGTTTGATACGCTTTAAATATGTCTTTTGAAGACAATTATTTTATAGATATATCAACTTTGTCAGACTTTATTTGGTCTTTTATTTTCAAGACAGGAAAATGTTTTAGGATAACTGTTTTACATCAACATATATAATATATTACCATTATATGATAAATGAAAGGTCTTGAAAATAAAAGACCAAATAAAGTTTTTCGCGATTTCTTTAGTTTTAATTGTCGAGTTCAAACCACAAATTTACCACCACTGACGGTTACGCCCGTTAACCAAAGGTAAGTGAATTGCAACATTTCACAGAAGCACAAAGCATGATCATGAAGAATTGAACTCATAAAACGTAAGTTTCTAATATAATCACAATATAAAACTATGGTCATGGAATATGGTGTATTGTTCACTTTAAGTTAGATGAGATGAAAAGAATTCAACCACAACTCTTCGTAAAGCGAAAATAATATAATTTTAGATTTAAAAGGAAATTATAAATTTACTTTAAATTTATATACGTTTGAACTATTTTCAAAAGTGTTTTCTTGTGGCAAGGAAAATAGTACTGTGAAGAAAAGAATCACGTCATAACAGCGTTTACGTTATCATAGTGAATTCACACAGAAAAATTGGATAGCATAATATAAAATGTGTGAATATTGCTTAATGCTTCATTCCTCCTTAAAAGTTTCAAAAAATGACTTGTTCTTCAGCCCGATTAATTTATTTAACGTTAAATACAATTAAAAACTATGACATACTTAGGGTACAGATTTGCAATCTGCACACGATTTCTTGAGCTATGGCATCTCTGTTCTAACACTTACACATTGAATTGCAGTCCGATTACTAGTAGCGACGAGCATATTTGGCAACAATTGGTAAGAAAATATTATCTCTCGTGTAATAAAAACTATTTACGAAGACAAATCTGCTCAGATTTTGGATATTATCCCTTACGATGTCATTTGTGACGAATCCACTTACTGCCGCGAGAAGACGGAGAAAGATTATTTTAATAACTATATTCCCATCTAAGCTCAAGGAAACATTAACAGATAGTGGAGCTAAATATATGTTCGAAAGCAAAATAAGTGGCTATCTCAGCATTTACTCTTTGGATTAGGGAAACTGGTCGAAAATCCTCATTGGGAGATTGGGGGGATGACCCAAAAGAGTAGGTACAACACTTGTTACAGATGTATCATTGTAAAAGAATGATACTCAATATAGGTTATAATTGTATAGAAATAGTTAAGCAGCAGAAAATAATTTACTTCGCACTTAAACTTGTGTATCCATATTGATCGTTTATCGTCCTCTGACAATGTCTTGTATGTGTTTCATTTGAATGGGTGAAAACCAGAATGGTATAAGTGACAATTTATAAATTCTGAGAAAAGCGTATTTCTATTGGGCTATATTTCATTGGGAATATATTTTCGTGGTTTTAATGAACAATTATGTGGTTTTAATTATGAAACAAAGCATAATGATTTTGCAGTAATATTGTCTTTAATAAACATTTCTCGGAATTTATAAAATGTCACTTACACCGTTCTGGTTTTCGCCCATTAATTTAAGGTACATGTATTGTGTGTGAATGTTTTGTAGTGAGCTGCGATACTGACACCTGATGAATATGATTAGTGCCGCATGTTATAGTTATACGATATATATTATTAGTTGAAAATATGTTCCCTTCGATGAGTGATTGACAAAAATCGCCCATTCTCAAACGAAGAGGCAAGGCAATGGTTGAATTCCTAGTTTAATAAAAAATGGTTTACAAGAATCACATAGGTAAGAATTTGCTTATTAATTACTTTCTGTAATCAAAAGTCTGTGAGCTGTAGGAGAGTTTATTAAGAATAATATGCCATATTTCAGATGGCAATTCACACTCCAAAAATATACACAACGAGCGGTACGAGGGTTGACTGAGCTTGACATAATTCTGAACCCGTAGCATTATGAACATCCTGTTGTACTCAATTCATTCAAATGGACCTTCCCATTTGAGGTTTGACTGAACTGAGAGACCCCAAAAATGTGTTACATTGGTCAATGGCAAATCTTTCTTGTTACAGTTATTTCAGTATAAAATTGTTTATTTGAAACGGAAAACTGCATTAAAACAGTTTTACCTTCGTTTACTACGAATTTGATTGAGCAGAACTAATTTATAACACTTGATATTACACTGACTGATAGATTATCAAAGTTTAAAGTCGCTCCAACATCAAAGTCATTGGACAGTGTCAAAATTATCGCAAGAACGTGTTTGCGCTGACAGTGCTAAACAACGACATTTTTAGAGCAAAGGAAAGATGTGTAATGGGAAGAGAATATGTTCTCCGCTAGAAAATGAAAGATTTGGTACAAAAGAGCCAGGAGAACATTAGAATTTTGTAAGTAAAAACAATGTTAATTTGCATTATCTTCCTCTCTTATCTGAGAGACCATAAATTCTATTTTCCCGCAGAAAACTGAAGAGCTTACGAAACCAGGTTTCGTCTGTACCAAGGATCTCTCCTAGAGAGGTGGAAAGGCCATGCCTTTTGCGGCTATCTCTGTCCTTACCGCAGTGAACGAGGGCACGTTTCACTGTCAGTTCTGCAGCAAGCTCAAGAAAGAGGAAGAAGATATCCGTGAGAGAAATGGTAGGGATATATTCGAAGTCACGGGAGAATTATCTCCTTACGCCTAACACCATTAAATGAGGAAGTCCACGGTTTTATAAACTCCTTTGTTTCCGTAAGCTTAAAATCAAAGATCTGCCGTGCTTTTGGCCATGCCTGAAGTACAGTACGTGTGATTAAGTGCTTCGTATCATCTATAGGCTATGGGCTATCTGTAAGGATGTATAATTTGTTTACTCGTGCACTTTGCTGCCTGGTCAGCCATTTTATTTCCATTTCCGCGAGGCCTCATAAAGAACCAATTGTAATGATGTTGCAATAAGTATATTTTATGCTCTATGAAACTGCTTCTAGAGTTAGGCCGATTTCAGAATACCAAGTACAATACCAAATTGTAGAGTTCAGGAAGGTTGAAACAAACAAGCGGATGTGGAATATATATTCTGTTTAAACCACTATATTTTAATATAGTGGTTTGAACAGAATGCAAGAGAAGATAAATTTAGTATAGAAAAATGGCGTATTTCTTAACTTGTTTGCTTTCTCTTCAATGGCTGTAAGTTACCAGTGCAAACAAAGTTGCATCATATGTGCCATAATAGTGTTTACTTATCCAATATTGAATACTCCGGAAAAATCATGTCAAAATTTTTTTGAAATTAAGAAAATTCCTAATAAAATTTTTAAAGATATCTCTTACGAATTCTATACAAAATTCTCAGGTTTGGGTTCAAGGAATGCAGATTGACGCGTTTGATGATTTGATATCATTATTAATGTCTTACAGGATTAAAATGTTAGTTTCATACCAGGAAGGAGCAGCTTTTGACGTAAATACGCTATCTGGAGGAAAATTCTAGCGCCCGGCTGCACTAATCGGTAGTTTTCTGTAGTTTCTCCGAACAACACCAGGTGAATGCAGGCGCGGTACCCTCAAATGGGCCACGCGCGCGATTTTTCTTTCTCTTTCTTGCCCTCGCCCTTTACACATACACTGACACTAACATTTACTACATTACAACACATGCCTGAAGACCGGCCGGGAGTTTAGAGCTTGTCCCAGCTGGCGCAGTGCCCCGTTGGTGGCAGATACCTGGCTGGGAAACCTCCCGTCGCCGGTAGGTCGGCTCTGGAGCTCACCATTCAGCAGGGGAAGATCAATGCTTTCCCTCGAGGAAAACACGCGCATTACAATTACGGGACTAATTATCTTAGCCGTGCCCGAAATTATCAACCAATCAATTGTGTGGAGGAGATGAAGCTGAAAGGTCATACCATAGAACAATTCCTCCATGGTTATACTCTCTTTCCGTGTTGAGTATGCGCCAAATGTAAAAGTTCTTTAGTTAATCATGTGAGTACTTCCCTGACAAGACAATACCACAAAAAGAACTATCAACAATCAATGAAAATGTTTTTGATTTTTTAAATTATCTATTTTGAAAGTTAATTATCAAAATAAGTATTTTTCAAATTTATTGCTGTGCACATTGAATCAATTGACGTTAAATAACGAATAGCTGAAAACCCAAAAAGGAAATTTTTCAGTTTGTCTTTAACAATTTTACGGTTTTGAGTTCATTCCTCCCCCATAACTATCACAATCAAAATGACACTAACTCTACTAATTTGTAGTAGATCTCTTCTGATTGCACTTTTACAATTATTCTTCTCCAATCATGCATACCTGTAAATTCGGTTCGAAGTTCAAGTCCAGAGGGTTCAAGACGGTGAAGGCGAACTTGCACTCGTGGTCGAACCTCCAAGGGCGGAGGACGAGCCCTTTGCAGATGTACCGCACGTGGCCCAGCTGCCCTTCGAACGACGACGGGAGAGTTTGCGGGAGAATCAGACTGAAGGGGTAGTAATGTTCCCCCGGAGGGAGTGTTATCTCCCCACCTGAAGAACAATAAAACCAAATTAAAGCGCGACCGGAGCGAATAGATACTTGTTTGTACTAGAGCAGTGTGAGCGGTGACTTCCCCGGGTCAGCCAAATACGAAGTGTGACTACGAAAGCCTAAACTAAGCAATGAATTAAAGGGTCTACAATGGTAGTCACAATCACAGCAAGCCAATGCTGTTCGAAAATATTAATACCTTTATTTTTGTCGAAATGTGTAAAATTGTTTCTGCCCAAACTCCTTCAAAAATATGAATACGCCTACTAACACGCTAAGCCACACTTTTACGAAAACTCTGTACACAAGGTGAATCGTCAACATTGAGCATTGTACTTCAACTTAACTTTTTCGGCTGGTACATGGTATGTTGTTTCAGATGATAAAAAACATAGACCAATGTATGGAATAAGCAATAAATAATTCCAATATTATTAATAATAATAATAATAATAATAATAATAATAATAATAATAATAATTCCTTCCCGTTTTGGCCTCAGAAATATAGATTTGTGTATATTTTTTGTATTTTTTCGATTTCCTCGAAGTTTGTATATCTCCGCAACTTCTTGAATTTCGAAGCTTGAAGCGTTGATGTAGACTCAGGAGGTCATTAGTGTCATTTGTGAACAGCGAGTGCAAATCTGGCGGCCGACTAACGGTCTAAGCTTGTGATGGCCTAAAATTCCGTCCGTATAGTCGCGAGCGATACAGGTCTGTAGTAATTTACACTTGTACTAATACCGTCAATTCACATTTTCGCCTTCCTCGATTTGTATCCGAAAAAACAGTTTAAACTGTTTTAACTATTTAAGTTTTTCTCCGGCAATACTTAGTTTCACAGAGATTCAACTCACTATAACCACAACTTTCGGGACGTTTGAGAAAAAAATTAAATAGTAAAGAAACTACTGCTCACAGAAAAAAGCGTTTCTGAAAACAATGCCATAGGAAACATTTGTTGCCATAGAAAACAGGAATTGAGACATTTGCTGCATTGTAGGATCAATATTTGTACTTCTGTGTCGTACAAGTCTCTCGCCTGGGATATGTAGACTACCAGAGTTTTAACAGCTACATGTAACTGTTATACAGGTGTCAGGGAAGTTGGAAATTGCTGGGGGGAGGGGCGAGATCCGCACTGTAGGGTGAATGGACCTCCCGACGGAGCTGTTGCAGAAGATTCGCCCTACAGTCCGGATCTTGCTCTCAGCGATTTTCATATTTTCTGGCAACCACAAGAAAGTCCTCCCCGGTCAGCATTTCGCAAATCTCTGTGACGTAGAGTTACAGGGAGCTGTCAATCGTTGGTACCTATCAGAGTAGCAGGCTGACATCGCAACACAGGGATACAAATGTTGATGCCACAGCTTGCCAGTTATCATCATAGAATTCTTGTGGTGATTACTTGAGGAAATAGTGCAACATGTGCTGCTTTTGCTAAAATATAGTTTGCCATGAAATTGTATTTTCTTTTTGTTGGCAAACTAGGAAAACTCACTTTGTGAACGCACTTTGTATTTTCCAAATTTTAATGATTCGGGAAGTCTAAGGATTTGAAAATCTTAAGTGTTACAATTTGGAGAAAATCAGCTAGTTATTTTCAAGTATGGTAAATTGTACTTACATGGACCTCCAAGGACAAAAAAATTGTTTTCGAAATACTGCTCCCGTGACCAATAATGTACAGTTTCTTTGTGGGACTTCCCATTTTGGTGACAAATTGTGTAGTCCGTCCAGTGTACTACAGCAGTTCCAGAACATCTCAATTCTATCCCTAAATTGAAGGAATTCACAGAGATTAGACATTTCTTAGAGATTTTAATGTATTGAACATAAGGGAAATAGTGTACTTCAAAATACATTTTTTGTTTTCTCTTCTATTGGATTATACACACTGTATGTCAATGAAGGGAAATAAATTATTAACGAGATACACTAATATGAGTACATTTTTTGGAATGAATTTGATATCTTATCTTTTATATAAATCAATAGAAAATATAGATAGTAACAGACTTTTTGAATATTTACATTCTTAAGATTGCCTAACGCCACTAAATGGAGTATCATGATTTAATATTTAATTCGTTTTTTATTAATTATTCCAATCAACACATTCCTCTATCATATTATTTAAATATTTTGTCGCGTTTTTTTAATAATGTCACTAACCCAATTTCATGATTTAGTAATCTAATAGTACGTCTTTTTAGTAACTTAATTAGAAAAATTAATTATTACGTATACTGAAAAATATAGTTCAATCACCATGATATTTTCCAATCAAATATTAATTTCATTACAAAGCGTACAGTATTTGTATAATATTTAGTTGAATAAATACATAAAAAGTACCATGAAACTAAAAGTAAAAGCGAATGATTCCAATTAACTTTTCTGTAGCAACTTTCAAGTACGAGAAATAAATTTCAATTTGAGAAGTTCATTCTACATAACCTAATCCTATTACATAAATGTAATACGAGATAACACGACATCCGTATGTCGGAGTCGATAGAAAACAAACCTAAAACCGCGTAAGGTAGACGCAATACGTTAAAGTTTTAACATAACATATTAAGTTAAAAACTGTTGCAGAAATATAAATACATTTCGATATCCATTTCGTACATTGTACACAAGACAATTCAGTATCAAATTAAATTACTACCTATGCTTAATGATAATATAAAAAAAATAATACGCTATTCAATGTAAAAAAATCAGAACACACTTTTAATAGAAAATTCTCAAATAATAAATCTGGAACTTCATTCGACAAGTATTAATAAAGAGAACAATGGTAAATACACATTTTCAGGGTCAACAACACCTCGCCACTAACTCAATCAGAACCGATAGTAAGTATTGAACTAGGAAGATACTCATAACATCAAGTTGTTCTAGTTGTAATCTAACGTTAAATTACTGTGCATAACTTACCTCGCATTCTCTTCGGTCTCACCAGCCGTATGTAGATTCGTCCGGTTACTTGCTGCCCGCTGTAATAAATTGCATATGGGTTGTCGAAACGTACACAGAATTCAGCCAGACTCTTCATTGCGACCGGTGGTGGCAGATCCTAAGAGATCGAGCCTGCACTAACTTCTTACTTGCAGTTTGCACGACTGGACGAACAACAGGTGAGCAGCAATTACCTTCGCGTGGTCGGTCTTATCTCTGGCCCCGAGTCAGATAATGGTAATCACCGCCTAACTCGGCGTGAAAACATGACGTCAGACTGGCCGCGTCCCACTTGTTATATCTACGTTAGTGCATGTACCACGTATGTCACACCGTTACTTACCGCTGCTACTATGGCGGCAAGTATGAATAAAATGGGCTAACAAATTTAAAAAAATAAATCCAATGCCAAATAGCCTGTTAGCATGTAGGATCGGATTTTGTTTGTTGCATTTCCAGGTGACGTCTTTACATTACACTTGTGCAGTCGAAGCGCCAACTCTATTGTGAAGTCTGTAGAATGTCTTCTTTCCATCACGTTAAAATGTTAATAAAAAAATTACGTCAAATATTGGAGATGATAAAATTAAATTTATTCCTTTTTTCTTCCATTATTTTTCGATCAAAGTTTTCTTCAGCAGCACTTCGACTCACAAATTAGATTAAGCTAACGCAGAAAACTCGATACACCTTTGGAGGACCGCAAAAGGGCACACAAACAAAGGGACGATTGGAGGGGAATGGAAAGGGGGCACTGAGCGCTTCCGGTCTAAAATTACGATACTCACTTCACGGAAATGAATAAATCTTACCCTTCCTTTCCTTACCTTGAAATGAATAAATCTTACCTTGATAAAAACATCCATCAGTAAAGGAATCGCATTGAAACGCCACTTTAATCTTTAGGCGACGATCTTCTGACGATAACTACTCCGACGAAAACACTAAATACAGCACCAAAAAACATAAATACACTAAATTCAGCACAAAAACAAGATCAAACCTAATCTACTCGGCAGCAACGTATTACAATAAAATGACATTTGTTTTATTTTGGGTGTACCGTTTTGTGGGTAGAGACTCTAAACTACGTATTAATTCTAACGTTATACTAAACAATAAATATAGCGCCGGCATTTTTGCGGGAGAGGGGTGAGGCCGCGAAGGTCACAACTTCTCGAAAAGCGACAGTGGCGACGGCTGCTACAGGAAAAATTTGCACGTCTCATTTCAAATCTCTTGTCAGAAATTATAACTTTATACACAAAATACTATCAAAATATTAACATATGTTACATCTTTGCATTTCTCTTTTTATGATCTATCTATTGCTAGTGAGAAAAATACAAGATTTCATTTAAAAAAAATCAAACATAATTAAATTTCTCGAAAACTGAAAATATTTCAAACAAGATCCATATCACTTACCCATGATTCCGCATTTTTTCAGCGAAAATTATTTCGGTATCGGTATCCATTTAGAAGTTATGGGAGTGGCCCACAGTTGGTGTGACTTCCTGTATAACCACTTCAATAACTACGACTCTAAATGAAGGTTCATAAAAAGTTGGCTTGAAATGTTTGCGTGGGGAGAGCAGGCGGCACCGCGCAAAGTACTCCGTGAAGATTTCCGTGTTGGGCGTCGTGACGAGTTGAAACGAGTTGCGAGACATTCAAATTGTTTTCTTCGTGTAGTCTTCACATTTTTATTTTGAGATTGCGAGTCGTTTTCGCACATGAGGTGGTCGCGCGCGCGGCTTGATCGAATTTCCTAAGGGGCCATTCATAAATCACGTGAGGTCTACGCTAACCGTTACACTATCGCCGCCGCCACCGCCGCGCTCTGAGGCAACTTAGCCGGAGCATCTCCATCCTGTTCCACTACCTGTTATTCTGAGGTAGTGCAGTGAAGTGTAAATGAATGGGAAGAATAATGGTTATGTATATAGTGAAACTAGTATGAATGATGTGTGAATGTAGATAAAAAGAAAATTACCTCACCCGTTAAACAATTTATGTAGTACATAGTATAACAAAACTGATCTTAGTGTAAGTTAGTAATGCCAAAGTGCAAGTAAGTTAACTTTAGGTCTAGAATGTTAACTTAGTTGTAAGAAAAATCCCCTCCTCTAGCTGCTTAAGCCACAAGGCAGCAGTACAATGTACAAAATTTAAAGAGAATAAATTCCCCTTCTCCACAGGGTCACTGTGGAGGCGACAAAAGAAATAAAATATTCTGAGGTAGTCTGGAGGCAGAATAATGGAGGTAGTAGGTAGCCAGTTTCCCATCATATAGATTTCACACGCAGTTACCGGTCAGACCGAATACATGAGTTACTACAGAAATAATGATCACTAGTGGAAACCCGTTCGATTAAATCGTACGGGTAGTTTATAGCTGACTTGAATTTTACGTTTTCGTGTATTTATATACCAATTTCATCTATTGAAGCCGGAAAAGGAACGAATTCTGCCTATAGTCTCTTTCCATATGCTTCGTCTGACCTGGCTGCTGACTGCCTTGCTTTGACATGTTTACGACGACTGCCGATGCTATCTATCACCTTGAAAATTACAAATTCAGGAGGGAAGATTATCTGATTCACAGATGGTCAGGTGGTGTTCGCTGAAGATGAAGACTATGCTCTATACATGCTACGAAAATTATATGAAGAGTACTCGGAATGGGGTTTATAAATAAATCTTAACAAGACTGAGTATATGGTTGTAGAAAGTGGTAAAGGTCTGAAACTGAATGATGGTTCAGAAGTAAAACCCTAGCAAAAATTCATATACTTCGGTTCAGAAATAAACGCAAATGGAGGTAGTACGTAAGATATTATAAACAGAATTGCAAAAGACTATAAGACAAATACATCCACTGATATGGAAAGATAAATTAAGTAAGATTGTAAAAAGAAAATTATATAAGACTGTTGTAGAAAAGATTGTTCTTGATGGATCTGAGGTATGGGAAGTAACAAGAAAGAGCGAAAAGAAATTGCAGGCAATGGAAATGAACTAACTTTAATGGATAAAGTTGCGGATTAACTTTAATGGATAAAGTTAAGAATGAAGAAATTAAAAGTAAAGCGGAAGTGAGTTTTAAAATAATTGACACCGTAGAAGTGAAAAGACTAAAATGGAATGGGCACATGCAAAGAATGAACGAAAAGCGTTGGCCGAAAATATTGTGGATCCAGCTACCCATCGACGAAGAGGACGACCTGGAATACATGGGGAGAGGTAATGGATGAGGCAATGGTGAAGAGAGGATTCAGTAATGAAGTCTTCACCGATAGAGAGATGTGGAGGCTGGGATGCTAGAGGTGTAATATAACTCGCTATACTACTACTAACTAGGAGGGAAGATAAAAAACACATTGAATAACGCAAATGCGACGTCAACTGCACCGAACTTCACAATCTAACTCTGCGCACAAAAGACGCACTGCAGCTTCGCTTTCCATGGTACTCACTCCGCCAGATTGTGTTAGGTGAGGATATTTAAAAAAAATACATAGTATACAATCATATGTTACATGAGTAGGCATCGGGGACTTGTAGCTTTGAAACACCACCTTATTTACTGAGGTAGATTGATTAGTTATTCCGAAAAGGAGATATTTGCGTAACACGTTTTAGAAGAAAAATATACGATGATATTGCCACAAACACATACAAAAACATCGATTTCGTGACCTCGTACTTGTGCCCACCTGTCTGAAGCCCCAGAGCCACCAGGGTACCTGTATTTTGATAATAATATATAATACGAGATGAATATATACGGTGATAAATTATACCTTTATCGTAAAATGTTTATTACCTCCATTCTTTAATTTAGATACAAATAAGGATTTTACTCTGTGCAAAATAAAAATAAATTTTTATTAAAAAATTATGTTTCTTTTCAATGATACATCCAAGAAGTATCGGTCAGTGTGTAAAACGTTTATTTCACTCTATGTCACAATTGACTTCTTAAGGTTTTGTCAACATTGAGAAGAGAGCTTTAACTCACGTGCCCCAGTTAATCATGCTTACAATACTAATGTTGAGCATAATTCATATCACGAGTGAATAGGAAATTTTCGATTAGGTACGAGTATTTCATTCACTGAATGAAATTATGCCTCACAGCGTTCCCGAATGAACCAAAGATTAATTATATTAAAAAACTCTCGCTTTTAATACACGCCGTCACCTATGAGTAATATATTGCAGTTTATGATTGTCCTGAAGAGAGAAGTGGAACAAAAATCGGGTAGAAAATCGATATTTCTTGTAGACTTAGTGGGGCCTACCAGTAGTATTGTTAAGCGCTGTTGGTTTGAATTTCATGAGTGGAATAGGCATAAAAGTCAAAATGTGTATATATGTGTATGTAATACAGAGGAGTTAGTTTATCTATGTACACGTGAGTTATAAAAAGTGATAAAATTTGATGTGTATTTGCATTTATATATATGTAAATGTCATCTGAATGTACTAGGTATGGAACAAAGCAGGCCCGACGGATAATGTATGTATGGTGGGTAGTTAAAGTCACATGAAAAATTCCGTCTGAGTGAGATACCCACTTCGAATTTTGAGTGAGAGAAATATTTCGTAAACATCAAATTACAGAAATGAACGAAGTTTCTCGATACTTCGTCGACTTAAAACCAATATACGATCAACTATGTTGTAAAATCTGCTCAACAGCATTGGGATTTTACATATTTATAGTGACATGACCGATAAAATCGAATTGCAAAAAGTGAGTGAATGAGTTTCTATAAAAAATGCATAGCGCAACGAAGTTTTACATTGAAAAATGAACAGCTCAAGATATATAAAATAAGTGTGATTAAAATTTGATGACAATTTAATGATAAACACGACAATTTAGAAATGGCTGTCGTGTATTTTCCCCTTGAAATACATTTTCGAAGGAGGTTGGAGGAAGAGGAGGGATACTCTAGGTTAAATATCCATTCGAACGTAACATCAACAGCTGATTCTGAATCTAGAATTTATTATATTTATCTTTTATATTTTTTGTATATAATTGTACATATTTTCATGGATAAGTACTTCCCAATTGCAGTATAACGTTTCTATCAATCTATCAAATAACTTTATTGATTGAAAATAATGGGCATAATTTATCATATTGTTCATTTGTAGTTATTTATTTCATGTCAAAACAGTTAAACGGTACGTAACGTACTAAGGGGAGAAATATATTCTTTGCGCATTTTTTTAATTATAATTTATTTGCGGAAATAAAATTATAAATCAATGAAATATTAATTCAACAATAACTGCCACATAAACATTATTAATATGTTATTGGCAACATTTTATCACATGCGCTTATATATTTTTTAATTATTGCAAAATAAATTTCTTCTTAGAACAAAACCAAAATGATTCCTTATATTCTCGAGCAATGCGCAATTAAACCACAGTTTTCAAT